ACGTCCCCTACTGTAATATCCCTTTTGCTCTTTTAAGTGTTAGTTCAAAAAACATTTCTGAATTTTTCAGTTTTCTTGAGCAATTCACAGTGTTTTCAAACGGCATTTTCTCAACTGATAATACCCAGCAAAATCTTAGCAGTTACAATAAGTTGTTTCCCTCAAAAATGTTTTTGCGCAACATAATTCAATAAATGAACATACCATCACTGACTTGAGAGATAAACTGCTAAAAGAATTAAAAAGTCGTACAGGGAACTTCATTACAAATCCCATGACACCTGCACAAAATAAAGTAATAAAAAACATGATGCAATTAAATGACTTTGAAGAATAAATCAACTTAAAAAATTCGATAATCTACATAATCACGTCAATATGAATGCAAAAGAGAAGATATACAAATGTTAAGAATAATCAATCCAACTTTACAGATGAATAATTTATATTCGTTTCTGACGTCAGTAACTATGAGAATACCAACCACATATCGATTTGCAAAATGCACAGAATTCATTTCGAATGTATTTATACGTTAACGTCAGATGAAGATAAAATGCGTTACTTATCTGTAACTGCTGACGAATGTCAAAAATAAAACTACGCATAACCAAATCCATAGGCAGCCATACTGAAGAATCAAATACATTAATCACAGGAATCAAATTACCGCCCTACCTAGGACAAAGCTGACCACTGGAAACAACAGACATTAAGTCAAAATGATGTGACTGCAGTTGTAGAGAAGACATTCGAAGCTTATAATTAATTTTGATATAAGAATCCTTCTTCTATTCAATACACTTTCCACTACCTCAACAAACTACACACGAATTTCCATGCTGAATTATGTAGAATACTATTAAACTAGGCGAAAAACGAGACACAAAAGGATTCATCCACCGCTCAAACGAAGCCACGAAAAACAGACCACAATTGATATGATTATGAACAATAAATTTTGTTCGAAACGTCATCCAGTAAATAATACTGTTTCACTGTGTGATATACCTAATAAACAAACTAATATGGAAGACCTATACTTCATTTACAGCGGACATTTACAATTTTATCATCCAGAGCACCCAATAATTTCAAAATCATCGCCAAGTTCAGAGTGTCAAAACCAACAATTTAAACAAAAAACAGCATAACTCACAATTGACGACGATTACTTGACGGAAATTATTCTGTCAAAAAAAATCAACAAAATATAAAGCATTGGTTAAAACCAGAAATTCATCTCTAGGATCTCAAGTAATGAAAACAACAACAACAACAACAATCAGATTGAAAACTAGGCGGATCACTACCCTTCAGTAACAAATTCGCCTCACAAATCAAACAACCTCAACTAAACAACACACATCAATCAATCAATCCCACAATCTCAAAATACACAACACAACACTCAAAGCAGACAATCCCATTCATCAATCACACAACCAAACATTAAGGCGAAATTGTTCTTTTAGGATTCTGATGCGCATATTCATCACATTGTACCAAAAAACAAACAAATAGAAATTATCAAATAAGTCACCTACCAAACGAACTTCCCGATGAATCGCAGCACAATACGAATTGAAGAGAGATTAATTCTGCAAAAGAAAGTGCAATAAAAGGAAATGGAATAAATATGGGGTCACAGACTCTTCCTAGTTGATGCAGTTTTCAGAAACACTACTGTAAAGTCATCCAAAGTCAATGAAGTAACAGGTTGAACATCAAGGGCGCAAAAGAACAGATCATTTAGGACAAAAATCAACTGTACATAACCGGAATTCAAATTAAATTAAAGTTCATTAGTAGGCTAGACATACGCGAACTCGTAATCTTCACTGTTGAATGGTACAAGTTACTAGCATCTGTTTCCTTATCTCATTGGTAAAATTTTTAGATACAGTTCCACTCAACACACAGCTCACACACAAGAGCTGCATTAAAATAATAATTTACTCATTATAAATAACGATAAAGTGTGCTCAAGTGGAACGTACACTTCACGTTGATTGCAATCAAGACTGATTGACTGACTAGTCTCAACACCAAACTTAGCACAGATGTGCAGCAGTTCGAGTTGTCAATCTTCATGTACCACATAAAGCAAGATAAGAAAGTAAACGGAGGTACAAAAGGGACAGCGATAATAAACAGAGGTATGAGGGAAAATAATAATAATTGAGGACAATACAGTTTTATTGGATAAGACAAATCACAAAGAGTGAATGCATGTGTGCCATTGAGAACAATTTCGAGGCATATCATTAATTGTCTCCAGCCATTGGATCTTATCATCTCAAAGACTCCAACCATGAAGCCTTGACTTACCTACCTGACTAAAACCAAACTTTTACGGATTTCATTGACCGATGTAATGTTTTGATTAAACCAACACTAGCTGTTTTGCGACCTGATCCTATATCAGCTAACAATGGTCGTTGAGGAAGGTGATGTCTTGGAGAGGATTTTTTAATTATTATTATTGTTCCCTTGGGTTTTGAGTGGAACATAGGGCTTCAACAACACACCTCCACGTTCTTCTTTTTTCTGCTGTCCTCTTTAGTTGGGCCAACAATTGCCCATAATCTTTCATCTCCCCCTCAGGTGATCTCCTCCACGTCACTCTAGGACGACCCACTCATGGTTTTCCATTTGAGGGCCTGGCGTGCGATATCATTAGATGGTCTCCTCAGTGTGTGCCAAATCCAACTCCATTTCCTTCTACACACTTTATGAACAATAAGTTCGTGGTTGGTTTGTTGCCAGCTTTTTGTTGCTAATTCTTTCCGGCTGACCATTTGATCTTCAGTGTGGAGCCAACGAAGGTAGCAGCTGTTGACAAATGTATGCAACTTATTGGAAATTATTTTCATGACACGGCAATTTTCATACCCATATAGAAGAAGTGACTTAACACTGCTGTTGAAATTCCGAATTTTGTACTTTGTGATGACTGTAGTAGATTTCTAGACCGACTTCAGGTTGATGAAGGGTCATCTTGCCTTTCCGATTCTTTTTGACTTTGAAATCTTCATCCGTTTCCCCTTGTGGTTGAAACAATGCTTCCTAGATAAATGAAACAGGTGACCTCCTTCAAGTTTCTCCCGTCGGTAGTGAATGGCACCTGTTTTTGCTATTTGTTGGTTACCTTCATCACCTCCGTCTTCTCTATGTTCACATGCAGTCCTGTCTTCACTGCATGCTTCTTCAGCCAGTCTGTTGGTTTTCGCCTGCAAGTCTTCGAAGATGTGTGACACTAGACATATATCATCCACACACGACATAAAGTTCTGCTGGAGACTTCTTATTGGTCGTCCAGCGTATTCCTGTCTTCTAACTTCCACGCACAGTCTGACGCATAATCCAGTCCACCACAATTAGAAATGTCATCAGTGATAATAGGCAGTCAGCCCTGGCTTATTCCTGTATTCACTTCGGACGCCTTGCTGAGTTTTCCGTTGTGGATCACCTAACACGTGCCACTGCCATATAGGCAGCTGCTGAATGAGGTTGATAAAGACTTGAGGTACACTGTAATGTTAAAGTAGTTTCCAAATTACTTCTCGGTCAACGCTGTCTGTTGAAGGTCTTTCCGAAGTAGATGAAGTTGAGGTGGAGTGAGGTTTGACTGCTATTCTATGCTTTGTTCGGTGATGACGATGCGCGGAGTTGCAATTTGATCAGCATATGATTTGACTTTCCGGAATTCAGGTTGTTCCGGTGGGTGGCGGAGTTCTGTATCCAGTGCATCTTTTATTCTCTCCAGGATGACACGACTTAGCATCTTACTCGGCGTCGACAAGAGCATGATTCCACGCCAGTTCTTGCAGAGGCCTAAGTTGCCTCTTCTTTAGCAGTTTCAGGAAGTAACCTTTCTTCCAATCAGTGGGCACCTTTCCTTCCTTCAAAACCTTCTGCAATAATGGCGACAGCGATATCATGATAGCCACCCCGTCAGTATGCTCGTGGTTATCGTCTGGGTGATCAGAGTAGATAACTGACTCACCAGTTGACAATTTTAACACTCCACTTCCATTCCGTATGTCCTCGCAGATTCCCAACAGTTCTATTCAATATCTCATTTCTTTGACTACCTGGGCAGCCTTCTCAGCCCAGTCTCGTACATTGTACAGACATTCCACGTCCCCATGGTTTTTCTTGCTTTCATGGAGAGAAGACACATTGGTTGACTGACTGGCTTCCCGGAGGCTTTCACCAGCACACTGTGTCATTTCACCTCTCCGATTCAAGCGAAGAATAGGTTTGTTTTCTATAGTTTTTGTATTTTATTCATATTTTTATTGTACGTTGAAGTTTCTGTAGTAGTTTGATTGGTTTTCTGGCAAATGGTGGCTAGCCCCACGCCCAACCCTCCCTCTTCTCCCGGGATTGGGACCAGCCAGAAAACTAGCGAGCTGGTAAATTAGGCGAAGTTAGGCTAGAATGTAACGGATAGCTATTTTTCAGTTATGAATAAATTGACAATTTTACAACCCGACAAAGGAACTACTTTAAAAACTGACCATCACACTTAGGGTATTAACAAGAATTTAAACAAAAAACAGCATAACTCACAATTGACGACGATTATTTGACGGAAATTATTCTGTCAAAAAAAATCAACAAAATATAAAGCATTGGTTAAAACCAGAAATTCATCTCTAGGAACTCAAGTAATGAAAACAATAACAACAACAACAATCAGATTGAAAACTAGGCGGATCACTACCCTTCAGTAACAAATTCGCCTCACAAATCAAACAACCTCAACTAAACAACACACATCAATCAATCAATCAATCCCACAATCTCAAAATACCCAACACAACACTCAAAGCAGACAATCCTATTCATCAATCACACAACCAAACATTAAGGCGAAATTGTTCTTTTAGGATTCTGATGCGCATATTCATCACATTGTACCAAAAAACAAACAAATAGAAATTATCAAATAAGTCACCTACCAAACGAACTTCCCGATGAATCACAGCACAATACGAATTGAAGAGAGATCAATTCTGCAAAAGAAAGTGCAATAAAAAGAAATGGAATAAATATGGGGTCACAGACTCTTTCCTAGTTGATGCAGTTTCGAGAAACACTACTGTGAAATCGTTGAAGATTATTAAAGTAGCAGTCTGAATACGATGAGTGATGGTAACTGACTTTAGTCTGAACGATCTTCCTGACGTAGTGTGACCTTCAGGAACATCATTCTCAGCCAGTGTGGCTTTTTGGATCACTGCGATATACAAACCTTGCCAGAACGTCAAGGTAGAAGCTATCGGTTGGGCGGTGGATCACCGACGTACACAATTGACTTTCTAACTGATATCAATTTGTAGCTATTAAAATTAAGGCGAATATATTTCTTCGCAAGGAAGTTGAATAAACTAACAAACACACACACATACACAGTTGAAAACAAAATAAACCGTACATAATGTATGTGCTGAAACTTATTTATTTATTTATCATAAGCAAATAATAATAATAATACAATTGAATACTACAAACACTACAACAAATCTTATAATCTTTTCATGATGACTAAATAATGAAATCTGTAAGTACGTACGTTGTTAAATAAAATAAACTTTGTGATGTATTATTTGGAATAAAAATAATGACTGAGCAAATGAAGGTGAATATTCTCAATAAAATCAAATAAAGTTCCACAGTAAAAATAAAAAAGAAAAGAAGACATATATATATTCAATGAAGACAGATGATCATAAAGCTTTCTATAAAAATGATGCTGACAACGCAAGACAACAGTGAAATCACACACTGATAAAAAATAACATCAGTACAGTATATACTTCTTAAAACAAGGTCTTTTTAGAAAAAAAACTGCTCAAAAGGATAACAGTTGAATAAATGAGATGAATAACGCACACACACACACACACACACACACACACACACACACACTGCAAGAAAAAAATGGAAACACACTGATATGGATGGATAGCTGAGTTGTTGGTGATCACAAAAGAAACAGGACAAAAGTCTGTCGAATAACATGATGCCTAAATGAGGATAAATTCAACGACAAAAACAGCTATAAATGGCAGTAGTAATGACTATTTAGACTGGTGAATAATTAAAATATTACACTGGTTGTAATAAACCAAAAAATATTGTAATATATTCAATAATAAAAAATAATAATAATAAATGGCCTAAAACAGTTGTCAAGATGAGAAGAATTTGATAAGACTTATAGAGATACACATGTATTTATCAGATAAGTGAGCAAAACACAATGAAACCGTAATTATTATGGAAAGAATAATCGTTTAGATTTTATCCGTGTGTTAACGGAGAGAAGTAATGTAGAGTAACTTAAATCATGTGTATCTATCTGTTTGTTTTATATATGTTCTTTCTTTTTTTTTGGGGGGGGGGGGGTTGTTCCCATCTCAAACAAAAGTTATGAGATGAATATTAGATGTATAGCTGCTGGAGGGAATTAAATAGTTAAACAATCGCAAAAAAAACACAATGAAAAACATTTCAAGATACCTCACCGAAACTATAACCACTAACTCTACTATTCAAACTTTGTCGGCTACCATGAAAACTAAATTGTTCAAAATACGGTCCATCGACAATTTGACTTTTACTATCCTCATCATCTGGTGGTGTGAGATCTACTGATGCATCTTTAAATTCATCTGGAACGTATTTAGTATCTTTTTCATCCATAACATCTGGTTTCCACGGTGGCTGAATATCTCTACAACGTGAAAATATGAACATGAACACAAAGAAGTTGGTGCAAAAATACGATAAGTAGAGAAAAACAACAGAGTAAAAATGAAAGCTCCTTAGGTTAATCATAAATTATAATTTATTTTCAGTAGCTTATAAGATATTCAATGTGGAAATGCGGTTCGCTGACTGATGCACTCGACCTTCAGTCAGTGGGTAACAGGTTCTCCAATCCCACCGCTCCACCTACTCCAGTCCGGATAACAGGTTATTATTTAACCTTATGCAATAAATATGTAACATGAAGCATCTGATCCTGGTAACTGAGTTCAAACAGCCTATTCGATAAATAACAATTTTCACTGCCACCTCAAATTGACTGAGTTTCAATATGGAACATGGCACAGAAATGCACTCCATGTGGCACAAAGATAGGGAAAAGATCAAATTAAAAAAAATAATATTCAAAAGAACTACAATCAACAGAAATAAGTCGGAGGAAGAATAGTGACATAGAAAACATGCGAGTTTGATGGATATGGGAGACTACTACAAAGAGGGAATGAATCTGCGCTGCTGAGAATCAATGATTTCGACTCATATCACTAATAGTCTCCAGCCGTTGATTCATAGAATCCTGAGTATCCCAACCAAGCAATCTACACCTCCCTACGCGAGTTGTTCGAAGCAACTGTCAAAGACTACACATATTGGTGCCAGATTTTGGTTTAACCACTCCTAACTCTTTTCCAAGCTAACTCAATGTCAGTTAACATTGCTCGCTGAGGAAGGAAGTGCTTGGTATGCGCAGCACATGTTCTAGCCATCTCAATCGATGTAGCTGCACAAGCTCACTGCCCCACAAAATGCAATGATGGTAATTGAGTTTCAGCAATTTAATACCAAACGATACTACTGCCTTTTTATTTGAAAAGATAAATGAAAGGTGCACTTGTTGCTAAGTCACCATATACATGCACAAAAAGGAAGAGGATGAAAACCACAGATACCTTACTTTGTTTCATATATACTAATGATATGTATAAACATCGAAGAAAACTAGCTAAAATAATACATTTTCAAATCTGTGTGCTACCCACCTATCGTCATTTATGTAATAATTTTTGTCGTACTAAAATGGTTGGAATATTTTATTACCTCATTACCAAGAAGCCTCGGAGTTAAAAGTTCCCTACACGTTAACAACCATCATCAGTAAGGGCATTTCTGAAGGCTACGGAGAGACTAGACTATTCCTGCGAAATCATAATATGCATCATCCCTAGCACCAAAGTTAAATTTTGAATTCTGAAAACTGAAGACTACAACTCCAAAACACAGACTAAATATATTTCGCTTATCAGTCAGCTCATAAAGCTAACAAAGGTGTTCATTTGATCAAAATGTGTTACTCACATAGCCCTATCAGAAGAATACAAATAGATGTATACCCTACATCAACAAATAAATGGCAAAAGAGTTCTAAACACTTAAATCGACCGACAATAAGTGAGTGTCACAAAAATGTAACGTAGTTTTGCACCGAATGAGAAAACAAACTGTAATTAATGGACCAGATATTTTATAAATCAACAATTGTATAAAACTCAATAATGACATACACATCTTTAAAAAGCAGCTGAGTATATCACCAGAAGAGAAAGACATATGGTGGAATGTTGGTCTTCTCTTCGTCAATCATGGAATATCAGAACTAAGTAGTTGCTGACTCTGTGTAATAATACTCAAAATAAATTGCATAAATATAGTGAACATTCATCTCTAACGTCTAAGCACGATAGCTACCTTTACAAGCAAATCTATATACTCCAATGGTTGGAAACAATTGGTGACATGGCTCAAAAGCGTTCTCAATGGCTGGCGCAGACGCATCCACTCTTTGTGACTTATGATTTCCAATGAAACTGTTTTGTTCTTCGTTATTACTATTCCTTTGTCTCACACCTCTGTTTACTGCCTATATTATGCATTTCTCCTACTTTCTTCTCTTGCTTTGTGTGCTACATGGAGGGAGTGTGGCGACTTGAACTGCCGCACATATGTGCAAAGTTCTATGTCGAAAACAGACAGACAGACCTATTGCATTTTACTGCTTCCCCTTTGCTGATTTTCTTTCAGTGTAATGACTTGTGATAACAAACAGTCTTTAAGCTACAACCAGTTTATATTTTTAAGATGATATCAAATTCATTTTACTATAAGTTCTTGTATCGTGTGATCTTTCTCCAACTAGATACCGTTGAAATCGCGTAAAGTTGAAATCTTGGCGCTTCTATTGCGAAAGTCAGTCAAAACTACTTGTTGCTAAGCAAAGATCGTAACCAAGATGAGTTGGACATCCCATCGAACTGTGAACCATGCATACACACCTGCTAATTTAAGCTATGCTAAGTGATTTCCTATTGAGAAACATTAACATGTCATCTGCAACTCTCGGTTTAAAAGCAATGTGAAGAGTGTAAGGCATTGACTATGACTTCTAGCATAGTTCTTTTTAGATTCACACAGTCAGTTAGGGTTAAAGGAACTCCAAATATTAACTTTCAAACATATGTGCGTCGGTGACACAGTGGTTAGGACTCTCGCCGACCATGCACATGGTCCGGGGTTAGATCCCCTGCCGACGCACACCTGATATCTATGGTCGGCCTGCAAAATTTGGGCTACCGATATCACATGTTGAAAATTTCACACCTGTACCAAAAATACGGTGTGGAATCAAGCTGTAATCAAAAAAATTTTTAAAAATAACCACACAAAAATCACCGATCTGTTGAATAGACTGTACGGTAATTGAATAAAGAGTTATGTGTTGGTGGTTTAATGGTAGAATGCTTGCCAATAATGTACACGATCCAGGTTCAATTGCTCGCTGTTGCACTTCTTAACCTTACCTAGTTTACTATTCGATAGTAAGTCCAGAAAAGAGACGATTGGGTGTGAAACAAGCACACCCACAATAACACGACTATTGAAACTCCAAGACCTCACGACTGAAGTTTTAAGTTTCACTAGGAAATCAAGCAATTAAAAAAGGATGAAGAATAACTGATAATACTTACTTTCTGATTAAACGATCCCAATCAATTGACGCGAAAAACAGATGTGCCATAACTTCTAGAACATCCTGTGTTCCACCACCTAAACGACTGGTAGGATCTTTAATCAATAGTCTGGACAGAATATCTTGTGCTGGTTGTGTAAGATGTGGTGGGAATGAGACATTTTCCTATATCATAAAGTGATTAACAAAGATTTTAATAATAATAATAATAACAATAAAACGGGTTGCATGAAAACTTAGAGGACTAATCAAAGGAATCCAAGACAAGTTTCAATAGGACACCACAATCTCTCGCGAAATGGCTTGGTGAATTCATGATAACTTCACTAGATATGCATACGAATACTTTTCTATTAGATAGAATATAGAATCCATACACAAACCCCGACATTTATACCATGTCTTTAGCTGAACTAGTGCTGACTAACTAGGCAGCACAGAACTACTCCACGCACAGAGAAAATATTCTGATTTTACATGATGTATTCACACTCCCCATAAAGTAGCGCATTGACGTGAACAATGAAATGTATACAGTACACGTTTAGGCTATCTGAATCCCTGTGTCGGTGGGACAGTGGTTAGGACTCTCGCCGACCATACACATGGTCCAGGGTTCGATCCCCTGCCGACGCACACCCGATATCTCTGGTCAGCCTGCAAAATTTGGGCTACCGTTATCCATGCTGAAAATTCCATACTTGTACTGAAAATACGGTGTGGCATTAAGCTGTAATCAAAATAAATAAACCGAAAAACTTATCAATGAACTGATTTGCTTCATATCTTATTCTACATTAATTTTCAGCATTGCTCAAATGACGGGTGAGATACGTATGGACAATGATACGAAAACAACGATGTAATATCAAAACCATTGAAAATCTCTAATATATCACAGATATGATATTTGGTGGAGGTCAACAAAACTGTTAGTATCTGTGACGAGAACATCCATGAATGAAATTTAGTGACGTAATGTAAACGTTCAAATATTTTTCTGTCTCCAAAAAGCAGATGAGCTTTAATTTTTTTAACAGCACACTTATTAGGTGAGGGTCCACTAGAAAGGAGTTTCAGACTTATGCTTCGTATATGCTGACATTCATCAATAAGGCGTCTTTGCAGCCTTAGGGAAAATTAAATCATTCCTCTGACATTTTTATAGGCATTACCTAGCACCTAAGTCAAAAAATTCACTGATGAACTATGACGGATCGCGGTTTATCTTCAGTAAGACTGGACAGTGAAAAGAAACCTCTTAGTAGATGACGACGAACACAGCTCACAAGTCTTTAGCACTCATACACTTATCGATTAGATTTGCAATGCAACTATTAAACTAAGTGGTACGAGACTGCAGTGCATTGTAATCGGGTAATGAACTTTAGCATTCAATCAGTGAAAACCAGATATCTAGGTTCAATAAAGCTCTTAATTATAATGGTGTAACTTTAGCAATAACTGATACAAAGCCAAACTTCAGGGTGGATAGTTGCACATATTAATTGATGTTAACGTGTAGGATCAGGTCTCCCTACTCAGTGAACTTTAACGCGTAGTAACAGAGAATACCTTTGTATATCTAATAACACCTACACAAACATTTAAAGTTGATAACTATTAGGTATCTGAAAATCGTACATCTGTGGTGGTGTGATACAGACAATGTATTCCAACGGAATATTATTCTCACATATTTCTACAGTTCAATACTGCATTAGCAACAGAATAATATAAGTATCTGAACATTCTGTTGTTACGCGTTGAGAGTTTATCAGAAGATTTAACTGAGAATGTACTACTTTATAGAAGATATGTTGATAGCATTTTAATCATAAGTGACAATCCGTTTTCTGCCACTTCAGTTTTAGATCGAATTATTGAAGCACGAAATGACATCAGTTCCGTATATATATATATATATATATATATATATTACTTAGTTGACGGCCCAATGGATCAATGCAACCATCTATTTATAGAAAACATACCTGAACATAACAGTATCTTAATTACCACAGCTTCTCTCCTGTTCAGTACAAAAGAGTCTTGGCGAAGTACCTCTTTAGTAGGATTTAACGAATATGCATACAGGATATGCTTGAATATGAGGAAAGAAAACTGGCAGAAACTCTGACTGATAATAAGTACCTACACAAGTTCATCAGAAGATATAAAGCGGTCAGAACACTAAGACCCATTGGCCAACTCGCGGCTAAGAAGGATGTACGTATCAAGCTACCCTACATGGGTGATCGATCATAGAAGCTTGGTAATTAGACAAAGATTGAACGGTTTGATTAAAAGGAATTTTTATGCAGCTAAAATCCAAATAATTGAGAATATGAAACCTATATATCTATCTAAGCCCTTAGAACATACTAAAATCATGTCACATTCAACTGTATCTACCAATTTAATTATGTACGTGTGGTCACATATATATAGGGAGAACTCATGAATCTTTGCAAGTAATGGCTTCACATCATATCCCTAAATGGCTTCAGAAGCTAATCGAATCCTCTAGACCTATTAATGGTGGAAACACACGACCTAACTCTTCTATTGGGAAGTATATTACAAATATAAGGCATAAAATTGATGTATACACCTCTTCAAGACTTTTTATATGTTTCAACAGATTTAGCATCGAAGTACCAACTTCAAACTATAGTAACACAGGGGGTTACAGTTAAACTCTACCAGAACAAAACAAAATAAAAGCTGGATGAAATGATTTGAGAAACAACGACAAAACGTTTATTGGTATCTAACTCACTTGAAGAATCAGCTCAAATAAAACCTCATGATCACTAGAATAAAAGGGTAAGCGTCCACACATCATCTCATACATTACTACACCAAGACCCCACCAATCGACTGAACGCCCATAATCACTATCCAACAGAACTTCAGGCGCTAAATATTCAGGAGTACCACAAAACGTCTTTGTCGATGCACCATAGTACATGTCTTCTTTGCATAAACCAAAATCAGCTATTTTTATGTGTCCATCTTTATCCAATAATAAATTTTCTAATTTAAGGTCCCTGCCAAAAAAAAAGAAATACGATATTATATACGGTAATGTATTTCCAACTACACTTGAACGTGAATCCATATTACTAGCTACGCAATCAACTAGAAACACCTCATGAGAACACCAGTATGTACCCCTTCTACACAGGTAAGATCAAACCTTTTAGATCCGAAAGTTTGAAGTTGTGGTCCAATCGTCTGGAAACTTGACTTTTAACAGGTCATTCAACTTAGTTAAGTCTTCACAATCTGACAATACTATTTATCTTTACATAACACCTGCAATTCATTGCAACAAGATGAATTACAGTATAGTATAAGTAAGTTGCTGTACTAGTGTAAGAATGAAATCCATAGCCGCATATATCAGTCAATATTTCATGGCTCTGTACAAAAACGGAAACAACTAACAGGTTAAGTATGTTTTTGGGACAAAAGAGATACAAACATTTCATGTAATTTCCTTAAGATAAGCAATGATATGTTCTGAAGAAAATTATATTCCAAACGTTATTAAATTCACTCATGCAACACTAAAAACTGCCAATCCTAGTCCTACTTCAATCCCAGTCGAATAAACAATAAGATGTAAACAACAGTACCGTAGAGATGGCAAACACTGGCGTCAATTCAGGGAATGCAAGCGTTAACTATTTGATACCTACAGTTAAGTAAAGATGTTTTCTAATCACTGAAAAAGATTACTTTTATTTATTTATCCTTGAAGACTATCCAGCGAATGAAGTGAAGAACACAAGTCACTGTCAGTTATTGAAGTAAGAGTAACCAAAAACTGACAAACCTTTTCAGAGTTGTAAAACGTATTTTATGTATAGTCGTAGACGCGGTTTCGCTCTATGTGGGACACATCAACCAGGTGTACCTAAACCTATCTGGGAAGAGTACTACTGCGCACTCACTTCATTGAGTTACTTTTTAGCAAAAATAGATAGGCATGGTGTATATATGCATATACCACTAACTTAACTGAGTGGAATTCTAAAACTAACAACCGCTCCACTTCACAGCATACACATCAGTGCAACACCATTGATTTAGGGTGCATACACAAGTACTTTTGAAAATGATCCTCAAAACAGGTACTTATGTGAAGCTAGTATCAAGTTTCACATTAGTTTGTTTCTAATTCCTGCCATTCAAATATCGCTTTTGAATATCAAAATATCTTCATAAAAGGAAACCTGAAGACAGTTTTCACACAGTGCTAGAGTCTACCACTTTCAGGTATTTTCTTAAGTGATACAACTGTCATGATATACTTCTGTTCCACTGAATATGAAAAGAAATGCAAAAGCTAGATCACACACTCCAAGAAAATGCATAGATAGATACTAATATACAATGTGATGTGAAATGAAACTTGAATCTACTTAATATACCTATAGACAACATTCTGATTGTGTAAATAACCCAGTGCAAGTGTAATCTCAGCCCCATAGAATTTGGCTCTTTCTTCTGAAAAGATACGATCCCTTTGCAAGTGGAAAAATAATTCACCACCATTCACATATTCCATGACAAAGCATAAACAATTCGGTGTGGTAAATGAATACCGCAGTGCAGTCATAAATGGATGTTTGCATTGTTGTAATACTCGATTTTCTGTCATTGTATGAACAACCTCTTCTTTCTATTGTGGAATAAAAATAAATTATTATAGAAAAGTTATATTCCCAAGGCAAACAAGTAAAATGATAGATAAAAGGAAAGATAAGGGAATAATACAATGAGCAAAGTGCGTCGATGGCACAGTGGTAGAATGCTCGCCAACCACGCAGGTGGTCTGGGGTTCTATCCCCGACTGATGCACTCCTTCACCTCGCTAAGCCAGCAACAAGACTGGTAAAGAGGGAAGGTTGGACATGAGGCTAGAAACCCCATCCCGTAAAAAAGCAACACCAGTGCTACAGAAACTTCAAGCCTCTAGCTTGATGCCCTATGTTCCACTGGAAACGTAAAGAAATATTTTTAAAAATCAGCAAAACATGTATAAGAGAAAACTTCAATTATGATAGGACGAAAATACATCTGTGCTATTGTAAATTACCTTGAACAACATCAACAAGAATTTTCAATTATTAACTCTAAGTATCCGGAGTTGATATGACTTATTGACTTAAACATTCAACTTTCAGCCAGTACACCCCAAGTTCAAATCTCGCTACACCCACTTCAGCTTGAGCGATCTCCACACAATATAAGAGATCTGCAACCTATTTTACTAAAATTTGTCAACAGAACCAATTGTATGGAACTTCCCAGCTAATTCGGATGTTTGTCGTTCTAGCGTTTTCCTTCGACTATTTTAGCGACTACAGCAAATTACGGTAGTGAACATTAGCCTGGCTTCCGTTAAAACGTGCTAATATAATGAAAGGTTTATATACATAGAGAAAATTTGTAGCTCAAGTGTATGATTTTTATGTGCTTGTCTTTTCTGAGCTCGGTGGCTTAATTGCTAAGCTTTTGTCGTCTTCCTAGACAACATCTTCAGTAAAATCTTCAAATAAGTTATATATATATAAACAGTTTCAGTAAGTAGTCAAAAAACTACGTAATTTCTGATGACAAAAAGCATTGTTGTGATTTTAGAAAGTGTATGTATATGTAAGTGGAAATGTTTGATAAGAATCATAAATTATAATTTCTAACTTACTTCAATCAGTACTGATTTCTTTAGTATTTTCATCGCATAAAAATGACCTGTTTCATTTTCTTGGCATAGAATCACCTTTCCAAATGTACCTTTACCCAAAACTTTTAGAAGTCGAAAGTCATTGACAGAATAACGCTTCACAGGTCTGCGATATATAAGTATGGATGTAGTAAGGAAAAGAATCAGGCAATTGTACACTAAACTATACGTGGGTTATCGAAATTATTAAAACAGCGAATAAACACATTTCAAGCGTTGGCTATACGCTATCACTAGATAAAAAATACTCCCATAAGGAAATGAAACTGATTTTTACAACTCTTAAGTGGGACTAGTAACTAAACTAAACATTTCACTGTGGAATGAGTGGCATTAAAACTCCTCTACCCGTAAATACTAATTTATGAAGTGTTAACTTGAGGAAAACATAAGCATGATACTTATTATATATTATTATTAAAACGCAAACTTGGTACATCATGAATGCCAAGAGATGCACACAAAATCTCATAGTTTGTGCACGAGTCACGATACTGCCCGGACACCCAGACCGAATCACGTGGTTGACCCCCTCCCTGAGCCCTTGACTTGAAGCTTCACCAAAAAGACAGTAAAGCAGAGTAAGAAGTTGCGTTTCGATTTTGGAGCATGTGTGCACCACAGGTTTGGAATTAGGGTTTTCCAGCTCCCCTAGATAGACAAGAATGTCCACCAGTCTGGTTGTGAGCGTCAGATATTCGCATTCACCTTTTCACTTTTGTGAAGATCACCCCCATCGTGTGAAGGCAGGGAATAGGACTTACCAAGTAGAGGCTATGCATGTGACTCAGAACAGCTTGCAGTTGCAATATCAATGATGCTAAAATACAACAGAAGCGTGAATAATTCAGTGATTACGATTTCTTAAAATCACAGACAATTTTTTTTCATTTTAGAATACATTCGGCATTTTCACTTAGTGTGTTTTAAAAAAGAAATTGTGTAGACAATAAAAATATGTGCGTCTTAATACACAGTCACATGCATAAGAAAACCTGGGCTTTAAAGACTGATTAATTTATTAATTTGTAATACTATGTGAATTGTTACTTCAACTTGTCACATACACCACGAACAACACATTCATACACATAGTTAGAATTGTACTGATCGTATGGAAAAGAAATCAAATCAAAAGCGAACTGCGTAATACGAGATGCAGAACCTACATCTTTTCAACTAGAGTATTTAAGAACTGTTGGTCGAAGTATTAGACTCATAACCAGAAGCTCATTAAGTTCAACCTTTGAGTTACCCTAACGGGGTTAGACGGTTTCGCAAAATCACAATAAATGTAGTTTATTATCTTGTGCGAAAAACCAGTATGTCGCTGTTGAAACATACATAAAATACTTGAAAAAAGACGGTATTTAACGTAAAAGGATGATAACCTAAGTTGAAGAAAGCATACAACACCACGATGAGACTAGAATTAGAAATCGAACCATCAACCGACTGAACTATACGCTAAGTATTTTAGTGAGAAACGTTAGTATAAAAACTATACAATGACAAAACCATAGTGCTTTTACTCAAGTACAAAAGTCTAGACAATACATAAACATTACTCGTACCTTTCGGTTAGAATACTTTATTTAAATTCATTAAACTGAATAAATTTATAGAGAAAGTAATACGAAGTCAGACAAATATCTTGGAATAACTTTCTATCCATAAAACCAGAGGTCATCATCATATCATTTAAACGTGTTAACATAAATATTTTCTAACTGTAAGTAAACGTTTTTATCATTCCTGTGTTTTGAAGGGAACAAAGGGGTTCAATCTTGAGCTTCGAAGTTCCAGTAACGGTGGTGATGTTGTTTCTACGTGATACAATTACCAGTCTCATACTCAACCTTCCCTCTTTACCGGGCATACTACCGGCTAGGTGAGGTTTAGGAGTATGTCGACCGTAAATTGAGCCTGGCCCACATGCGTAGTTGACAAACACTTGAGATAAGGATTCAGTTACCCCGTACTTAGATTTGAATGATTATATGCAGCACTAAGTGGCCTTAAAAAACAGCTGTCTCAGGTAAAACATCTATCTTTCTCTATAAAAACAGAGGGTTAAAACCAGTTTTAACAAGACAAACACCTATTTGGCTTTAAAAACTGACCTTTGGGGAATATCAACAACAACATTGTCAGATAAGTCTACACTATGCACAGATATTGGCATTTCACACGAGGATCTCAGCCTGTTAGCTACACTTTGAATCGCACCAAGCCAATCATTGCGTTCTGCTTCTGTTTCAACAAAGAATAATCGCTCCACTACATTAGTCCATTGCAAACCACGAATAAGAAAGGTGTAAGGTTTGGGTTTATTCAGGCATATAATTTGGCAGCCACGGACAGTAAAATTATTTAACGGTTGTGCCATGTCATCCTAAAAACAAAAGAAATTAACATTTAGATAAGCTGGTGACGTATAGTGGACCATATGGTAGGTTAGACTCGCCATTTCATTGTACTAATATATAATCCATAATGAAAAATTAATATAATATATTAAAAGTACACATGATGTCAAATATAAACCTTAGTCAATTAACAGTACTCACATTATTTTAATTTGAATCCTTTGATACAACAAAGATGTATTTCTCTAAATAAATGCCCAGTAGGAAATATATTTATCGAGCTGAACCAAGTATAACAATTTCATATATACAGAATTTCGAACACGAATTTCAAACGGACGTGTCAATTGCATTCACTGTGATTGAGTTGGCAGAACTCAATCAAAAACCTCTAATAAATAATGCATTTTGTTCTTCATTACACTGCAAACTGTACCGAAGTTCCACCATATATATATATATATATATATATATATATATATATATATATATATATATATATGAACTAAATCTAACATTTGAAATTCCATCTAGTTAAATAAACATTTTAGAACGCCGGTGATAAAAACTGTGTAGTTTAGCACAATAAATATATAATGAGACGTAAGCAATCACTTGAGAATTTTTTACAAGCTTAATATATACATATGAGGAGCTGTAACTCACTGGTTTAGGTGATCAACGTCTAACCAATTGGATTGTGTTTGAACCCTGCTCTATCTATCATGCTATGGGCAGCCAGTACGTATCACTAACCCTCACACCATAGGTGTGACTCATTGTCAACTGCATAGGATCGCAAGAGGTTGTTGAGTAAAATTTTATTTCATTTTTTTAATATGCACACCAGGCACAATATGAGCTAGAAACAAATTTTAAAACCCATACATTTTTAATCAAACAGTCTAATTAAAAATCAACTATTGAGACTGGTCAACAAATTGCTTACTATTCAACAATAATAATGGACTGAAGTAAATATACAATGCTGAAACGATAAACTGGATCATCGGAGAAACACACACCGAATTTCCATATTATTTAACATACGTTACATACGACTACAAGCAAACGCGGCATATGCAGCTTATTTATTGTGCAGTGTACACTCGAGTTAACCCACATCCCTGCATACTGACTAGAAAATTCAGTAATTTTAAAAGCCAAAATCAACGAAAAGTGCAGGGAATTTGCAGGTTACTTTAATTTATCAAGACCATTAACATTTACCAAAATATTTTCAAAGATAGCGTTACTTAGTCATTTTGTCTGCTGTTTTCTGCTAGGGATTGTAATGAATGGTTACCATTACATAAGGTTGTGTGACATTGCAAAATCTATCAATATTAAGTGGAGTAAACTAACTTTAGGCTGACTTTTATAACCGTAAAATGTCCCATCTTCTCGTAGCTTGAAATATCGGCGCCTCCAGTTTTTAATATGTTCACCACGTTTCATAAGCCATCCTTCTTTTACAACTTTCCTTGTAAGAGGTAAAGATACTGGTCGACACTGAAGCATTCCCAAGAGATAGGGTGATATACGCGGTGACAAATGATTGGGATAATTTTCTGTCGACACGTTTCCAAATGCACTGCATTGATTAGTGATCGCAGGGATATGGCCATTCGGGAGATTAGGGAGCATACTTGGACCACTGCAACTGAAATTTCTCAGTTGGGTTACAGACATATCTTGTACTTTAGTCGACATTGTAGCTGATTCCTGGTCAGAAGGACCATTTTCGCTATTGTTTGAGGTTCCAACCGCCGGATTCGGTGGATAGTTGTATAAGATTTCCATCACTAAAAGGTGTTAAATTGTTAAAAGACTTTAGTGTAATCATATTAATAACAATACTTCAGATTTAGTGCATTTAGAATAACAAACCACTTCGGTCAACTATCTATCAATGTACGGCAGGTGTAAAATAAAGCAAAGTACTATTCATAAAATTCTGCTTCACACACACAGATTAACTAATTAATTAATATTACTTAACAACCATTTGCATACGCACGCAGTTAGCAATGAGCCGCACCCATTGTGTGAAGGCTAATGTTACCACTTGGCTGCCCACACCTCGGTAGGTACGAACCCGCGACCCAAATGGACGACAGACAAGTCCCTATACCAGTAAGTCACAGCTCCACAAACGGGTAGTAATCATTTGAAATATTAATCTAACAGTAGTAGTCGTCATGAAAATCTAAAATTCGCCATTGGTCATGAGAGATTTTGACTATATAAAAGTGGCTAATTACATTTCTACGATATTAATTTATGTTTTCTGATGTGTTAAACGTGACGACAAGGTTCCATGTATAATCATATCAAGTTCTATATCTCCAGCAGTTGTTTGGAATATTACACCTAAAATTCCACTATTACCATAATTTGGAGCTAGTCAAAAAAATTAAGGAGTTTAAAAACGTAATGACAAACAAATTATGAAGTGTCCAATATTTGAATTTCAAAAACAATGGCAATGTCATATTAGAACCGTTTCGTATAGTTAACTGGAGGTTAATATACACGAATAAGCGAAGATGAAGACTAGTAAAAAAGGTAGATGAGAGAAACGAGTCAGCATCTAAAACTCGCTGACAGCAATGAAAACTTTGAGCTGAGCCGTAAAATTGGGGCAGAACTACAACCTGAAGTAATGAACACTAGAGAGGTGCAGTGTGCTCAAAAATCTGCTGTCAAGACACGTGAGAAACCTTGAAAATCCAAGAGGGCAAGTAATGGAAGCATCGTAAGACTAGCTCGCGAAACTTCTATGACGAAGCATAGCGTGTCAAGTTAACAGATGGCTCCTGGTTGCGGTGACAGCACATTAGAAGAAACTAAGTCCACTTGGGTAGTACCCAAACCTAAGTTGAAAGAAAACTATAGAAAAGAGAAGACGGTGGGGTCTCTACTGCCGTCAATACTGTTTCAAAACCTTATTCCACTTGGTGTTATTGTATGGAAGCTGGAAGAACCGAATGTGGATCCAGCTACTCTCCATCTACATGATGTCGATGCAGTTGGCTTTTTCATGACCTACTTCCCTACACAACAAACGGAGTTCATATGAGAAAGGTCATCAGAATCGGAAAACAAAATACTGATGCTATCGAAAGTTCTCGACGATTACAAAATACTAGTACCAGGGAATGAAATGGAAAGGAATATTATTTTCAACAACGCATTTAAGATCAAGGATAAAAAGTTGGGAATAAGGTCTGATTGACCGCTGAAGGACGGAATTAAAAGGAGGAAAGCAGTAGAGGAATTGAAGGCTCCTTTAAGAAGAAGAGCTTAAGATATTGGGTTCTTGGGTGGTGAGGTCTTAGAAACTTATGTCACCAAGACCTCTGTTCATAAGTTGAATGAATACACGTATCCATTTGGTGTATGAAGGCGTGTGGTTTCTGGAACAAGCTTCCTGAACTAGGAGTACTATCTGAAGTACTACAATGTTACTTTAAAAATTGAAATATGGTTGTTAGTGGGTGTGGGCCTCACTTACTTACTTACTTTACTTTACTTCGGCTATCTCCTACGGAAGGATGAGCCGGCTTCATGAACATCTCGAATCATCGCTGCCCAGGCGCGGCGATCTGTCGCAAGGTTTTGCGACAAGGTAAGAGAGTTCATGAAGTTTCATGGGAATTTGGTACGAGTGATGTCCCCAGAATCGCTCGGCCTTTTGTTTGAGAGTGCAGCTCCAGCCTTTACACAACCAAGTGTGACCTACAAGGCAGTAGGAGTGGAGTAGGGAGTCCACTATCCATTGGCAGCCGGTGGCCGGAGTTCGGTTCATACGCCTTTTTGAATGGGGCCAGACATCCAGGACATCCAACAAGCCCTTTGTCCATACGTCTGCCGGTGAGCTCCAGTGAGCTTCATACGCCAGTCGTTGGAGGTTTGGAATCAGGGTTTAGCCATCTCCCCTAGACTGTCATCCAATGGACAGTCAACCCGGTGAAGAGCGCCGGGCATCCGCTTTCGCCCTCTCACTTTGGTAAAAAACACCTCCGCCACGTGAAGGTAGTGAGTAGGACTTCCTCAGGAGAGGCTATGTAAGACGCCCGGTCATATGGGTCTCACTCTACCCATACTGAAGTATATCAGCGTTAGAGCAGACAAAGTAGTTAACCAAGGTGGTGGGGTCGCTCTATACATCCGAGATGACATAAGAATTAGGTGAACACTTTCACAAGCGCATAACAGAGGCACTAGCGAAACTGTAAGTTGTGTTATAAACTTGAATAAATGTTCTGTAACAATCGAGGTTACTTACAGAAGTCTTGTCTACCAGGCCGATGACTTCGTTCTAAGTCACCTAAGGGCATGGAGTAGTGGAAATAAATTAACTGAATGCTTCAATCACTGCAGTTTGGAAATTAATTCTAGAAATAGCGCATTGATGAACTTAGGTCAGAGATATTACAGGTCGTACTCCCAAATCTTTTATTTGAAGCGGTTGCTGAAGTCATTGTCAGTTAATTCATTAATTTAATAATTCCCATTGTAGCATTATTCATTCATCAACAAATCCCTGGTGCTAAGGGACAAAAAACTTGGGAATTATTGTCAGCAGTAATCTAGAAATAACTGCACACTGATACAGCTGACTGACTGGTTTCAACAGCTGCCGCTAAGGCTTTTCGAATGCTATGTGCACTTCTAAGGGCTTTCAAACTCTTAGATGAGTCTATGCTTAAAGTGCTCTATGCAACATGTCAGGCCTCACCTAAAATAATGTATACGAGCTGCTAGTCTATGCTTGAAGGAGGCACGTGTCTTGGAAAGAGTATAAATGGTAGGAACTAAATTGGTCAGTGGTATATACCACCCTACTTCTGGGAAGAGGATGGACCATTTAAACCTCTTCCCATTATCATATCGTATATTAAAGTGTGATTTTGGGACTGACCTTTCTAAACTTTCCTTTGCTTCTACGACACCTATGCGAGGCCCCTACAAAAAGGTGACCAAACCACGGACGAATAAAATTCGTATGGAATTTAGATCATCACAAAGCGGTCAACGACTGGAACTCCTGACCCGATCAAGTAATATCAGCTCCATCGATGAATGTCTGCGAAAAGAAATTGAATCTCCACAGAGGTATATATTGCAGGGATTAACACTGGTCACAGAAGCCAGTTATCAAATATGGTATCAGGTATCTTTCAAACCTAGGCCAAACCCTGATACTAATAGGTTTGGTGGAGAACACCTTCATTTCCAAAATTGTACTGAAATATTTTCAAGTTATGCAGACCTTGTACGATGACAGTCCATACTTTGTAATGCTTAGCATTCAAGTTAGGTAAAGCACAAAACTAGCTCACGTGAAATCCTTAACTGGAAACCCGAAACAACGGCCCGACTAGAAAAAGGACACAATTATGAGATCACAACAAGGTGCTCAAACCGAGGTCGAATAAAATACGTGTGAAATTTGGATTCTGTCACAGAGCGGTCAACGACTGGAACTCCTTACCTGATTCAGAAGTAACAGCTCCATCGGTGAACACCTTCAAAGAGGAAGCAGATCTCTTCAGAGATGTAAATTGCAAGGATTAACATGAGCAACAACAGCCTTCTATCCTTATAATCTGAATATAAACCAAACGAATTAGGAAACAAAACCAAATCAAATTGCAGCAAGACTACTATGAAGATAGCGGTTTGAACTCTAAACTAGAATCACAACTTATTCGTGTTACCATCAAAACTAGGCTTGTGGTATCAAACTGAAAACATACAGAAGCAACTTTAATAGACAGGCTTACATACTTTTAGAGGACCTGATCTGTCTGTTGAGTTTATATAAGATTTAAGTAAACATAAGCAGACACAAAGCAAAAGTAGGTTCTGTCCAACCCTGTATGTATGTGATGAATAACTGCAGTCACATATATATATATATATATATATCCCAAGCTTACCATAATGCTAAATTAAATCTCACTAATTCTGAAATAATTCTCACGTTCTATAGTGAGCAACTTCTGAATCTGTTCTGGAATGGATTCTTTAATGGTACAGACTAGAACTCAGTGCTGGTTTTCAGCATGACTGGCACTAATTCAGCACCGTGTTCTTTTTCTGGGCATTCTCAGGAGTAGATCAGAACCTACTGCGTTTGCTTATCAGCGTTGTTTCAGCCCTCACAGGACATATTCAGCGCGTTACTTCAGAACGAAAAGACTTAATTCAGCACCCAGCTCTTTTTAAGCACGACCAGCGTCATTTCAGAACATAGTGTGTAGATAAAATCTTCATTTACCATAAATAGGCATTATCAAAGAATAGGTTAGAATAAGTTTAGAATTGTTGTAAGCTTGGGATATATACATATATACAGATTATAATCTGTACATATCACACATTATGACTACATTCATTATAAAAGCCAGACAGTGCTGAGAGATATTAGTAAAAAGTCGCACGCCGCCTCTGTCTCAATGAGAAATTCGGGAGATAAACTTATGCGTTTCCCCGAAACTCTAGTTTCAAAGGAGGGAACACCCAATTTTTACATTGATTCGCTCTCAAATCTATTATTTGAGGCGAATGTTGAAGTAATAATCGGTTAATTCGTTCACTCATAACTAGTGCCTACAAACAAACAAAAACCACTAAGAACGAACCGCCTAGAACAACACCAGCCAGTCAACAAGTGACCTTGAGGACAAGAAGGACCCAACTGCTCGCGCCAGAAGGAGCGAGATAACAAAACGGCAACTGCTTTCATATTTTGGAGATGTAAGAACAGTAAGCTTCGAAACTCTATTAAAACTTAGCGTTCACTGGATAGTAAACGCATATTGTTGCTTTGAATGTGTCAAACCAAGGTGATGTATAACGATACACTATGGCCCAGTGTTGAACCTACATAAACCTATCTTTTTAACTGTGCTTCTCAGTGTCACGAAACAGCTGTAAACCTCTTGAAAATTCCAGTGCAGAAAGTCTGCCTACTCGCCTTCATTTCCAATGCTGAGATCAGAAAGCTAATTTTAATGTGAATGTATGAATTTCGATAACACATATGTTTCAGATAAACTACGTCTTCTTATTGTGTTGTCGTGAATGTATGATGCTTCCATTGATGGTGTCACAGCTGGGAATTGAAATGGTATTTTTGACATAAATTCTCTCATATTAGTTGAACAGTCAGAGAAGAAAGTTAGGAGAGTGAGTGAGCAGAAAGTGAACTGAAGATAGAGCAACATAATCCTATGTAAGCAGGTCGGCCAAGGAGGAGGGGAAGAAAACGAGGAATCCCGAGTGAAAGAG